TGCACTTGAGAAGTGGATGACAGCCTACACCAACTACCAGAAAACTTTTTTTTTCTTTATTTTTTGCACTTTTTTATGCTAAATAAAAGCTATTGAAAATATTTAATTATATACAAAAACTTTAATGTTTAGTTGCCGTTGAACCTGGGAACTTAAAACAACTGTTACGCCATTTTTTTTTTTGTTTTTTTCTGAAGAAATAATATTTTTTTAACGATATTTTATGAGCGGAAATTAGACAAAATCTTTTTTTTTTAGTGTTGTTAAACTTCTACAAATTTAAAAAAAAAAAACCAACTGTTCAAATATGGGAATCGAAGTGTCACAAAATTAAGCCTTTTATCAGTGCTATTTATCCAGCAGTTCTCCTTTGATACAATTATTGCATTTTCAAATGATGAATACTGTACCCATATCTTTCGGAAAAAAAGAATTCAACATCAGATGTCATTAAATATTTTCATTCTTCGGTTTTATTTAAAGTAACTTTTTTTTGTGCTTCTAAGTATTGATAGCCTGAATATGACTGTAATCTGTAATTAAGTTTTGACTGAAGTTAAAAAAATTCAGTTGCTCAAAATATTATTGTGTCTTCTATCAAGTGGTTCTCTGAATTTACAGCAGCAGTTCCAAAGTTCAACAACTGTCTGATACTGCTAAAATTACTTAGCTTCAGATCATATGACTATTTGTCGATTTAGTATTAATGGTTAATGAATCGATTAGACTAAACAGTTCAAACATTTCACCAGTATTCAAAAACTGAAAAATGACGAATAAAAAATTAATTTTTGTTTAGTTTACGTTAAGCCAATTGTGAACAAAAACGTTTTGCTGGTAAATATCATCTACAACTATGGGCATAAAATGCTCAATAAATAGTCGAACAATGAAGAATTAAATAAGTTAATTTCTTAAACAAAAAAAACAATTAAAAGTTTAATTAAGTGGTTAGTTAAATTGTTAAAAATTGAAGAATGAGGTAGGTCAAGCTATAAACAAAAAGAGTTTTGAATGACTGCTGACGAAAATTTAGATAAATAATAATAGAAAAATATAATGGCAAGTAGAAAAAAAAAAGCGAACATATAATAATCAAAAAAGGGGATACGGCATAGCAAATGACAACAAAGACTGTAAGAGAGGAAAAACTTCAAATAGTGAAAACTGAAAAAAAAAAGCAAAAAGCAAATTTATAGTTTATAAATTATCCCAAAAAAAGTGTTAACTGACTATACATCAGAAATAAGTTATTGCACTTTCCGCACATTGATTTTAATTCAGTTCAGTTTTGCTTTTTTAATTATAATTTAAACAGTTGAGCAGTTGCTGTATTTATGAAAACAAAAAATCAGTTGACAGACGGTAGCCGGTAGGTAAGCTATCTAAGTTAACTACAAATACTTGCTGAAATATTACGTAAACTGCTTTTTAAAAAGCTTTCTGTGTTAACAGTCACTTGTATTCCTAAACAAAACATTATATATCAATGTTGTAGGTAGAAGAAGTTACAGAAACTTATTGCAACACTTTCCTCCGCATTTGCCCTGGTTTTTGACATTACTTTTCTGCATTTTTACCTCTTCTTCATCTTGATTAGTGGAGAACTCATAGAATCGAACCACTGTCAGATGACAGTTTCACGCTGAAGGATACATAAAAACGTTTAACCACAAATTTGTCGATGAATTCCACTATTCTAAGAAACTGTTTGACACTTTTGATATAAAGCTGACTAAAAAATTTGTCATTGCTTATAGTTCTACAGATTCATCGTAAAAAAACTGCTTACAGTTGATTTCATATATATTCTAATTGGGAAATTTTCTAATTTGCTTGCTAATTCCAAAAACTTGTGACAACAGCATTTCTGCCTAACAAATTTGAGAAGCATAACAAGTTAAATAATTTCCAAACTTAAGTGTCTTTTTGGAGATCTAAGCAACTTCTTGTTTGTTATTTCCTTTTGAAGCTTTCATTTGTTACGGCATTTCTTTTCTTTTTTAAAGACAGAAGACAGAAGGCGTAAAGGCATTGTGATAAGGAAATTTCATTGTTTTTGCAGCTTTTTGAATTACAGTTCCATTGTCAAATAATATAATTGCCCTCGTCAGATACCAAAAAAAAAAAACAAAAACAAAAAATCACTTTTATTTTACCACTGAGCAACAGAAGCTTCAAAATTTTCTATCACTTTTATTCTTTATATTTCAGTTTCCCGACTTCTAATTTTACAACAAATAAGTGTTATAGCAAAAAAAAAATTTTTCTTTTTTTTTTTTTTTTCTTCTGAGAAACCGTGACAGGCAGTTCTATCTCTGAGGGCAAACTTCACTTTTTATTACCTAAAAATTTTTCTGCCACATATGACCTTTTTCAAATGTTCAAAATTATTGATAAACAGCAAGAAATAGTTAAAATTTTGAGCAAAAAATAACAACATTGTTTTCTCGAATTTTTTTTTTTTTTTTTTTTTT